TCTAGCACTATGTGGTATGTAAGAAGTGTAACGCATTTGAGTAGAATTTATGTTATTTTCTACTTTTAAATTGATGCATTATTTTATAGATTTTTAATAACATTCTTCAGAGGTATTTGGAATGTATTTATTCATTGTGAATCATCTCACAACAAAGAGAAATTGTGCAGCACTTGTATGTTGAGACCCTCTGTTCTGGCTTGAGAATAAAAAAACAAAACAAAACAAAACACTAAAATTATAACTCCTGTTATCAAAATGTTCACATGGCCAAAAATAACAGAAAAATGGTATCTCAAAACACAAACTGCCAAAGTGTATTTGAATATTATATATTTAGCATGTTGCTTATTAGGTTATTTAATAACTTAGTAGTGAGAATGGAGGCTGGCAACAATAGATGAGACAAAATATATAAAAATAGGACTAAATGGCTGAAACCGGTTTGGCTCAGTGGATAGAGCGTCGGCCTGCGGACTGAGGGGTCCCAGGTTCGATTCCGGTCAAGGGCATGTACCTGGGTTGCGGGCACATCCCCAGGGGGTGTGCAGGAGGCAGCTGATCGATGTTTCTCTCTCATTGATGTTTCTAACTCTCTATCTCTCTCCCTTCCTCTCTGTAAGAAATCAATAAAATATATTTAAAAAAAAATAGGACTAAATGTATTATTTTAGAACCCAAAGCAAGATCATGTTAATTCACTAAAAATGAATAATAATGACTGAAAAATGTATCATTTATTTCCCAAGTACGATTTATTTTCACATTATGTCAAGATTATCATCATGTAAACATTGCACAAACTAGACAGAAAATGCAATACAATTTAACATATTTGATAATTCTGAATTTAATGAAATATTATGCATGGCAGAAATAGGAATCAAGTGTAAAATGAATAAAATAGTGACTCAAGAATAATGCACTATCATAACCTTAAAATAGTATATTTATTTAAGGGACATGGTATAGTTTTAAGTTTTATCTATCCCAAAGTCGATTATTTTGTAAAAAGAAACAGCACTATTTTACCTTAATATCCTGTGTACAAATTTAGCTCTTCCTAATTTCAAGTTCAAGTTAAATATGAGAAGATTTATACACTGTGTAATCTGCATTTTTCTCATATGTCAATTTGTGGTGATTCTGTGGAACCATGCTAATTCAACACTAGCATGGTTCTTTAGAGAAAAAACATAAAGTAAAAACTATCTCAGCACTGTTTATCACAATTATTGTCTCCTGCCACTTTGCAGAGCACCTTACCCATTTCAGCACAGATCAAAAAACAAAAACTGGCACATTCTTAGTGTCCCGCTAAGTAAAAAAACTTGTCCTACACAAAGGAAGAGCTTTCTGCTGCTTGTATTCACAAGCCTTGATAACAGGAGACAAGCTGCAATTCAGAATAAAATGATAATGACTGTCGCACACTACTTCAACCTGTCAGTGCAACAGCCACTTGAAGATTAAAGTGTGCTTTTCTTTATCTATAAAGAAATACTTCAGACACTGTGAACACTTTGATCATTTTCAAAAAACCCACCTACCTAGAAAGGTTCAACAATTTTCTGCTTACAAATTAAATCAATAAATATCATGATTTTTGGAATCCAGCCATGCATGCTCTTGCTGTGAGATGGTTAATAAAAAGAAGAAAACAAAACATAACTGTACTGAAATTCACTATATAGATACTATTGTTTAGCATGCCCTGCCAGCATGAACATGCACAGATGATACACAGAACAAATTACTCCAAACATAATATCATAATCTGAACATATAATCTAATTTCAAAGGGGCCAGGCAATTTCATGGATGGCTGATCCATACTGACAACCAAAAGAAACGAAAAACGTCTTATGTGCATAGTCAGTCTCTTAAGGCAAATGCCATACAAAATAGTAGTGCCAAACATAGAATCAAAGGTTCCTGAAAGCTGTAAACCAGTGTTCTTTCTGAGAATGACATTTAAAGTTAAGCTCCAAATGTGAATTCTGTGCCTGTGTAACTATCGTCTGCATAGACTCTGAATGCTTTCTTATAGTGTAAAAACATTGCAGACATATAAGAAAGCAAATATTTGCTATGATCAAACTAAGGGATGTATTAAACAAAAATATATGGTATCAGATAACTGTTTCCACTTTATTTTGCTCTCTCTCTCGTGCATGGGTGCACTGTGTGTGTGTGTGTGTGTGTGTGTGTGTGTGTGTTTAATCAGTTTACTAGGTGGAAAGATTAAAAGTTAGTGTGCCAAGGTCTAGCAAAATACCTCCCTACTTGTGCTCTTCAATGTGGATTTGTTACATCTAATCGATAGATGAAGTGAATTTTTGCATGCCCTTTAGTCCAAGTGGATCCATGTGTCTACTTTGACAAATAGCATGAGGTGAAAGTGTTAACTATGCCAGACCCAGACATGCCTTTTTGTGGTAACTTCCATTCTGCCTCTCAGAACATTCACTCTTCGAATATTCCATCTGAGAAGGAGAGAGTGGAGAAGCACAAGTCACGTGGAGCAGCAAATGAAGATGCTTAGTCAATATCAGCAGATGAACTCCCGTCCAGCAACTGGCATTGACTACTAAACTTTCACGTCAACTACCTTGGCGCTCCAGCATTGCTGAGCTTTCAGATTACTGAAGCCTCAGCAGACATCTGGTTATAGTACATGATAGACTCAAGGAAAAACGGCTCTGCTGAGTCTACCCAGACATTTGTAAGAGATAATAACAGTTATTTTAATCTATTACATTTTGGTCTTAAGGTCTTAAGGCACACCAACAGTGTACTAGTAAGAAAGTAGTCAGTTAGTGCAGATAATTGAAACAATAGAGAGTAGAAAGTGTAAAATATTAATAAAAGGATATTTGTTTCTGTGATGTAAACAATAAGAAATGAAAATGATGGATGTATTTTAGAATCAAGAGAGGGTAAGAAAAGAATGCTGTGAAAGAATAAAACAAAGAACACTGGAGGTGAGAGTGCACAAGGTTCACAGTTAGTCAATTTACTTTCTCAGAAAGAGAACACAAATCATATGACAACAGAAATCAGTTCACTAAATCACAAAAGAAAGAAAAAACCGCAGGGCAGGGGTATGTTCTAGGAAGTCAGAAGAGTTCATGGTATGTTATGCTACTTGAGAATGGAGAGTTTGTACTCTGGACAGAATGAATTTATATGGCTATATACAGTTTGCTAAACAAGTGCCCTTCCTCACTGGCCAGGAGAGAGCTTACAGTATTAGCCCAGTAAAAGTCTGATATTCCACAGTTGAACAAAAATTTAGTCACTTTTTAGCTTTCACTGATGGATTACACAAACTTCATGGTGTGTGTGTGTGTGTGTGTGTGTGTGTGTGTGTGTGTGTGTTTTATTATTTGTTGTTATTTTAATAGCTTGAGGAGCTTAGTGCCAGTTGTGGAGTAACACCATATTCATTTGAGATATTGCCAAGCAAGGTGCATATTTTCCTTGTATAATAAACAAGTATCATCAGGTTTTGTAATTGTTGCCATCCTATATATTTTTTTCAGATCTCCTCAAAATCTATCAAAATACTAATCAGTTTTAAATTATTTTAAGAAACATCAAAGTCTTTGAAAGTTTAAAAAAATTAAATTCAACCTATTTTACTTTAACAAAATACATAGTCTATGTAATCTTCTTGAGATTTATGATATTCAAGAATAAATTGTAATCTATAACATTTAGGAAACTAATAAAAAATCCTCTTTCAAATCACATAACACAATCCATTGAATCAAGACTATTCCCTAAATTAAGGCTGGAGTTAACACAGAGATGTAAAACAGCTAAAATGGGGAGAATATTGTTTTTCTCACACAAATGCATAATCCCAGTCTAATGAGAAAAACATCAGACACATTCCAATATAGGACACATGGCCAGCACTCCTCAATATTGTCAAAGTCATCAAAAACAGAGAAATTGTCACAGCACAATGGAGACAGGACTAATTGCAAGTGGTATCGAGGATGGGATCCTTGGATAGAATAAGAACAGTAGGTAAAAACTGAGGAAATATGAATCAAAGATGAAATTTAGTTAATAATCATGTATCAATATTATTCCATTAATTGTGACAGATGTACCATACCAATGTAAGATGTTAATAATGTGAAGTATATGGGAACTTTCTGTACTATCTTCACAACTTTGCTATAAGTTAAAACTATTCTAAAATAAAACTTGTATTTAAAAAATAAGGTTCCCAAGAGTAAATAAAATATGTTTGCTTATAAAAATATCTATTCTTTATTTCAGTACATTATTCTGTACGTTTGTCTAATATAAATGCCAGTGCATTGAGAGCACTTGCTTATCTACTCTAAATTGTTAATCACTTGATATACATGTATTAATTAGTAATACAGGGCAATAAAAGATGAATAAGATTTTGAAATTATTTATGCTAAGCCTGTATATGGATGACAGAGCTCATATATTTTCTATCTCAGTTGACCCTTGAACATTATGGGAATTATGGATTCCAATCCTTGCACAGTCAAATATCTGTGTATAACTTTGGGCTCCCTGAAATCTTAACTACTAATAGCCTACTGTTGACCAGAAGTCTTACAGATAACATAAATAGCCGATTAACACATTTTTATGATATATCCTATATACATATATACACATCATATATAAATATTATTCTTATGACAAAGTAACTGAAGAAAAGAAACTATTACTAAGAAAACCAAAAGGCAGAGAAAATACATTTACAGTATTATATGTATTTATTTCTTTTTTTTAAATATATTTTATTGATTTTTTACAGAGAGGAAGGGAGAGAGATAGAGAGTTAGAAACATCGATGAGAGAGAAATATCGATCAGCTGCCTCCTGCACATCTCCTACTGGGGATATGCCCGCAACCCAAGTACATGCCCTTGACCGGAATCAAACCTGGGACCCGTCAGTCCGCAGGCCGACGCTCTATCCACTGAGCCAAACCGGTTTCGGCTGTATTTATTTCTTAAAACCTACTTAAAGGGATGGTGTACAGTTCCAACCTATGTTTTTCAAGGATCACCTGCAATTTAATGGTTAAAGTATCAATTAATAGCTACTCTACACATGTGATAACTTAACATATTTGCCAACTGATAAAGAAGGCTTTTACTAATCCAAATAAATGCCGGTCATAACTGTGAAATGGGGTCTGTTGAAGCTTTTGCCCATAAAACTAGGTAACTGGCCAGGTGGACAATATGATGGGATCACATGAGATGCTTAGTAAAGAGCACCTGGGTGGGGATTACCTCAATATTTTAATAACCAGCATTATTATATAAGTGTATACATACAAAATTTCACACTCAACAATTACATTGTATCAACTCTATGAAGTATTGATGTATTTTACATTTTAACATAGTATTTGACAACAGGATGTCTGACACCAATGTTTTTTTAAAATTGTAGTTATGCAAAAATCTGCATGATTTAGTTATGCACACGCAACCTGTGTCAGACTTATTTATATTTTCATCATCACAATTGATTACTCTTGGTAATGTATGCTGTGGTTTTAATCACTAATTACAATGTCTTCTAACCATTACAAAACTACAAGCAATAAAACTGTTGCTGGGTTTGTAGAAAATCAGTGGAGCAAAAAAGTGAATTTTAATTATTGGAGAAATTATTGTAATTCCATATTTTCTTGTAAAGCAATAACCATCTTCTTTACAGAACCTAAATTAAGGAAACTGCAGCACATATAAAGTAATGGCATTTTATTCTTGAGACTAGAGGCCTGATGCACAAAATTTTGGGCTAGGGGCTCGGCCCTCACAGCCCGGGCTGCCTTGGCCAGCCTTCACAGCCCCTCGCAGCCTCATCTGGCCCTCACAGCCCTTCACATCATTGGCCAGCCCTTGCAGCCCCGGCTTCCTCCAGAAGGTCATCCGGAATGACAACTGGAAGGTCGTTCGGCTGTTTGGTCTAATTAGCATATTAGCTCTTTATTATATAGGGTGGTTACAAACGGAGTAACCTATAAAGCAATAAGCTGAAGGCCCAGGAAATTGCTAAATTCCACAGAGTAGAAGAAATTTTTAAGCAACCAAAAAGTCATGTGACTATTTTGTGGATTGGGCGCTAATTTAATTGAGAGCATTTTTCTTTCTTACTGCATGGAAATAGCCTAATCAGCCATTCTACACCAATAAGCCTAAGAATCAATAACATATAAAATGTATACCAAATAACCAATATATAAAAGGAATAAAGATTAATTAGTAAAATGACCCCATTTAGAAATCCTAGCGATATAGCAGTATGTGCTGTATTCTATATTAGATGTCACTAAAACATTGATCCTGATATTAAAAAAAAAAAATTATGAAACATTACTTGTGATCACTCAGTCTCTTGGACGTAATGGAGAAAAGGTTTAGTTGTAAGCTTGTTTGATGGGGGGAGGATGAGGATGTTACTGAATCACATTTTCAAGAAATTTTACATGACAGTTGGGAGAAAATCTTCATATTACTAAAGCAAAGAATTCAGAGTTTTCCCATATTTATTTGCTTATGTCATTTTTTTTCTCACTAAAAGAAATACTCCAAGAGAGATGGTACTTTTCTTTGCTCTTGCACTGTTTTAGGTGCTCATGAAAGTAACTGACACAGAATAGACAATAAGTACAAAGAATGAACAGAGCCCTGGGCGGTGTTGCCCAGTGGTTTAGAGCATTGGCCTGCACACTAAAGGGTTGCGAGTTCAATTCCCAGTCAAGGGCAGGTACTTTGGTTGCAGGAACCATCCCCATCCACACAGGCAGGAGGCAACCAATTGATCAATTGATGTGTCTCTCTCACATTTATTCTCTCTCTCTCTCTCTCTCTCTCTCTCTCTCTCTCTCTCCTCTCTCTCTCTTCTGCTCCCTCTCTCCCTCTTTCCTTTCCACTCTCTCTAAAACTCAATAGAATAAAAGATCCTTTGGTGAGGATTAAAAAAAAGAATAAATAAATTATTATTTTTATTTTTTGGCAATTACTGTTTGAAAAGAAACATCACATGTACAATGCAATATCATAAACAATAGTATCATATGTAAAATAGAAGACAAAAATATATTTTAACAAATTTTTTTTAAAATATATTTTATTGAGTTTTTACAGAGAGGAAAGGAGAGAGATAGAGAGTCAGAAACATCGATGAGAGAGAAACATCGACCAGCTGCCTCCTGCACACTCCCCACTGGGGATGTGCCTGCAACCAAGGTACATGCCCTTGACCGGAATCGAACCTGGGACCTTTCAGTCCGCAGGCCGACGCTCCATCCACTGAGACAAACCGGTTTCGGCAAACCAATTTTTATAAATGCCGCAGTTTTAGGAAGAAACATCATCATCATCATCATCATCGTTATCATAACAGCAACAACTTCCATTCACAGACTTCAATCCTGCTGAACTTCCTCCTGTGTCCCACATAATCCAGTTGGTTCCTGGATGTGAGATCAGCTCAAGATTCAAATTACTCTCAAGATTTCATTCAGGAATTTGAAAGGATTCTTCCAATGCTTGCTCTCAGCCAGTAAGTTATGATGGTATGCCTTTGTTATTGTAGGTTGCTGATCAAAGCAGGCATAGCAATGATGGGATCATCCTATATAATAAAAGGCTAATATGCAAATTGTCCACTCGGGAGTTTGACCAACCGGGAGTTTGACCGCTCGCTATGATACACGCTGACCACCAGGAGGCAGCATGGAATGAAGGAAGGCTCCAGCCAGCAGCCGGAAAGCCCCGATCGGCCCTGATTTCTGGCCAGGCTTAGGAACCTGACCTGTGCATGCATTTCATGCACCAGGCCTCTATTTTTTAAATATATTTCACTTTTAGAAAAAAATGCAGAGAAAGAAAGTGAAGTCAACACTTTTTCACTTCTAGAGTATTTGAAAAATAAACATTAGTAGATTCAAAATTAGTAGATTAAAAATCAGATGACCATGTTTGATTCATAGATTTAAAATATATATATATTTTTATTGATTTTAGAGAAAGAGGAAGAAGAGGGTGGGGATAGAGAGCGAGAGAGAGGGAGAGAGAGAGAGAGAGAGAGAGAGAGAGAGAGAGAGAGAGAGAGAGAAAGAGAGAGAGAGGTGAGAAACATACATGGGCTACCTTCTACGCATCCCCTAATGGGGTTTGAGCCAGCAACCCCTAGAATCGAATAAGTGTCTTTTGATGCACAAGATGACACCTAACCAAACAACTGAGCCATACCAGCCTCGGCTTGACTCATAAATTAAAAAAAAAAAAATTAAAACTTATGAGGTTTATGGCATTAAATAACAATTGGGCTTTTATTTCTTTACCTGTAAAATAGATTTAGCAATAAGAATTTCCAGAGCTCTTGTGACAATAAAAACATAATGTATGTGAAATCATAATCTTGTGATCTTTAAAGCGCTATAAAAATGAAAGTTATTGTTCCAGTTATTCAAAACAGGAACTAGAAAGGTTATTCCTGCATGGCAGTCTGGTTTGATGATAAATGACTGAACTAACGAAGACATAAGTGGGACACAAATTCATTAACACATTCTGCAAAAGGAAGGTATGGTTTCATAAGCCTTTAGGACCAAATCCAGGTGAATGATGTATAAACTTTAAAAGAGGAAGCAATAGAACAAAGAGAAAACAATTTCATTGTCAGACTTTTTAAGTAATTATAATTATTAACACCAGCACCATAGATTTAGACAGAATTTAATCTTATTATTAATATACAAAGGAAAATATTCTCCTCATTTTCATTAAATATTTGAATTAAGAACATTTAAAATTATAATTACTTCTATACTTACTGATTAATTTTAAAAGTTATTAACGATTAGAAAATTAATATTTTAATGACATCTCTCTAATTGCAGACATGTTCCTCAGTTCTCACATAAAACTTTTTGGAAAGATTGTTAAGAAGATTCTTTTAGGTAATATTGAATATAATTGATTATCTAAATGACAGGTTTCTAATAAATGGTGACAGGAGAAGATTTTATTTTGAATGGTGGGCACACAGTGCAGTATTAGGGTTTCTAACATAGAAATCCACACCTGAAACCTGTAGGGCCATATTAACCATTGTCACACCAATCGATCAAATGATAATAAAATAAAATATAATGCACTCCTAAAATAAATAAATAAATGATAGGTTTAACTATAGAATTTATTTAAAATAAACTATGTTTTATAGTTAATTGGTAAAATTTTACGAAAATCTGAGATTACGTTATTTTCTGTAAATCAGTACCACCTATTTGTAACAGCATTGCTAATGAGGGCTTAAAAGAAAATTCCATTATTGTTAAATTTAATTAATATTTGTATCCTCACCTGAGGATATGTTTATTGATTTGAGAGAGAGAGAGAGAGAGAGAGAGAGAGAGAGAGAGAGAGAAAGGGAGAAAGAAAGAGATAAACAGCAATGTGAGAGAGACACATTGATGGGTATGCACCCCACCTTGACCGGGGATCCAACCAAAACCTTTTGGTGTATGGAATGATGCTCCAACCAATTGAGCCACCAGACAACTGCGCAAATTCAATTATTTAATGAGGATGTTTTTACATGCAAATTCATTTTACATAAAATGTAAATTGTAATTTAATTTACCAGTAGTTTTGTTTCCAAATGGTGTAGAGAATTAGCTTTTACTGACCTGTTGTCTTAGAAAGAAGTGTAAAAACTCTGGCTAAAATTCAGTAGTTATAATTACATTCTCTCAGTTGTTATCCTTCATCCAATTTCAACAGGCTTTTCATATCTTTATAAAAATATGTTTTGTGATTGTTATCTCTCCTGGAAGACAAATTATAAGAGCGATGGCTGAGTTTAGTTGCTGATACATCATTCATTCTAGGAGCCAGGCATCAGGAAAATAAATCATCCTTAGAGTTAGGTTGAATATGTTTTCCTTTTGTTTTTTCAAGGTAGAACTTTATAAAGAAGAACTATCTCCTTAATTAGAATCTGATAAATCTTCACCTAAAGATATAAGAAAAAGGGTTCCTGACTTCAGAGTAGATAAAAGGCAGGTAGTAAGATTCATTGCTAATGTGTTATCTGCTGAATAGCCCTGGATAGTTGGGAAGCAAATGCATTTGAGAAGATAAAATTGAAAAAGAAATGTGGATTTTCATAATAAACAGAGATCACAGTAAAAAATCATGAATGCAATGTTTTCTTGGGAAGAAAATGAAAGGTTAGAATTACAAAGCACTGGGATGCCAGAACATTAGCTCAAGGAACTGAAATATTGAATTGATTTCCACACATGCAATCATAGTTTTTGGAGAGGGTGGATAAAAAGACATTAATTTTGCACTATCCCATAGTGTCCTGATGATTTCTATCCTTAAGTTAGCAAAGGATATACTTTGAGATAATAGTAAGATATTTTATCCTCTTACATAGCTTTTCAAAATGAGTATGTTTTTTTATAAGAACTGGACAGAATATAGAAGTAACTTCCTCTAGAAGAGTTCTCCTATGAATAGTTTTATTATTTGCATAGAGATAAAAACTAAATTCTTCAAGCATCATGATATCTGGGGGCTTCTCTAGAAATCAGGGAATCACTGATGCATTCCTCAAGACAGAGACTTCTTAACCAAATATTGTCAAGAATATCTCATTAAGAGAGTCAACTTTTCACAAACTATGTCTCTGAAAAGATGCTCTGTGACTTCTATTCCTAACTTTTTTAATCCTAATTTTAAGGACAGTTGTCCATAAATATTCTTCATGTATATTGGGCATAAGGATTACATTAAGATTTTACATATAAGTTGGTTGAGAGGTGCATCTGGTATTTTTTCTTCTAAGAAAATAATAGGTTAAAAGTGTTTTTTAAAGTAAAGGTTAGTAAATTATTTCTCTGTGCCTTTATCAATTAGAAAAATGAATAGAATGAATACTATTTTAATGCATAAGTTATTGGAGAAAGGGCACTAATATAAATTATCATGGAAATTTTTGTACATTTGTGATCAATGCAAGCAATTAAAGAGTGTCCAGAAAAATTTCTCAATACATTTTTTAGATATGATTTTTAAGACAATAATTTGGTTTAAAAGATAACTTGTTGTTGAAATATTTTAAAATTATATTTTACAAGTACATTTTATATTCTAATTGCATATAGTTATGTCTAAATCTAAATTATGAAAAAATATCAACACTGTACCTATTCATACAAAACATGAGAATGATTTCTGCCACATAGTATACATTCAATAGCTTAATAAATATTGGTTGATGAATAAATGAAAACAGACATTTCACATTTCCAAAAATGAATTTATTCATGATATGAAAAGGATTTAACACATGGTAGTATTGGGGGTTAAATGAAAGTGGTAAGAGATCATTGCTTTAGAGAGAGGTGACTTTGTGATTTCAGAGTGAGAGATTTTATATCAGGTGTGCAGGATAGGGTCTCCAAGTTTGTTAGTTTTGTTTTGTTTTTCATCCATTTATTGATTTATTAGCTCTTTTAGCAAATCTTTGTTTAATGCCTATAATGACACAATAATTGTGCTAGGCATGACTTTGGAAGGGTTAAAATTGTAAGCTTTACCCTGGTTCTCAGTGTATCAAAATATACTGGAGAATGCAGAAAAGTAAAGAGGAGTTATTGGATTTCAAGTAAGAAATTCACAAGAATTACTCTCATGATAGTGCTTTATAAAACGAAATGCTATTTTATGTATTTACAATATGCTGGTTGCCTGCACAAGTCATTTCCTCACAGTGGTTAGTTCTGATGTAGAAACCAAATTTAATGAGAAATTGGTAATCACATAAGTCAAGCAAATGGAACTCGATATTCTTAGGGGATGCTTTCATCAGGCCTTGAGTTTGGGAAATAAATTTTCTTTTATACTTAAATAATAATTTGTCTAAATAGTATTTTGCTTTAAATAAATATTTATTAAATGCCTACTATTCATATAAAAACAATTTTTAGACTAGCAATGTCAAATTAGTGCACTCTCTACTTTAAACCATGCATGACAATAACCTAATTACTTCCAGGTAATATATATTTTTGAATTGGAGTATCTGGCCATAAGCATAGCTGCTTAAAATATTCAACTACATATTTTATCTAATTAGTTCTTAATAAGGGGGTAAAAAAGATCCCCCAATCTGCATATTGTATATCAATTACAAAACAATAAATAAAAAAAAACTGTACAAATATATATCTTTCCAGAAATATACACAAATATTCTTTGGGTATTGTTATTCTAAAAAAACTCCTGCCAAATCTCTCTCTTTTTTTTTAAGATTCCATAAAAGTAAAGAATTTTTAATGTATTTGAAGTATAATTTGAGATCAATGTGCTACATAGTCATTATGTATTGGTTGTGAGAATTTAATTCCTCAATAAAAGAAACTTTGATAAAGAGGTTAACACTTTATCAAGTAAATATACATTAAAATTGCAGATATAACAAAATAATGACTATATAGAGTCCATTCTAGTCAAAGAATAAGGATTTAAACCTAAGAATTTATACAAAGTTTTCTCATATTGTTGTTATATATAATTGCATCTCACATCTAAAAATTTTATTATGCTATAAGCAACTAAGTACTTAGACTTTGATTTCTTTTATTTTTTTTCATGGTTTTACATTGAATATAATATTATATACTTGTAATTATTCAGTTAGTTTTGTTTATTGCTCAGGATTCTAAAATAGATGCGTAAGGTCTTAGGTAATTGAGCAAAACCACAGTGGCAAAGGAAAAATTCTATGAAGGTTTGCAAAATCTGACTGCCAAAATCTGTAAATATTAATTCTATTAGATTTTACTTCTATCATTAACATCTTGGCCAATTATTTGACTTAAGGGAAAATTTAAGGAATTTGGGTTTGTCTATGATAGTCACAGCTTTTTCCTTAATACATACCTATATTTGCATGGCATTATTAGAGAGTAGGCATATATGCATTGTTGACTAGGAAATATATGAACTTAGAAGCTTGTTCTTTTTTTCCTCCTCCAGTCACTAGTTAAATTTGCTATAAAATACAAGAAAAATCACAAATAAGCCGTCATGGAATGGAAGGGTCAGCATTTCAAGCATTAAGTAAGAAATAGTTCATTGTGTCAGAAGATCACATAGAAAAAAATTATTTTAGAGACTCTAACATGTAAAAACATAGTGAAAGATGCACTTTAATCATCTTAGCTTTTATAGATGATTTTTATTTATACTTCTTTCCTTGCCTTTTGATTTTGTGTTTTAGTGTGATGAACATGATTTTTTCATCTCTTAGGAAAAGATAATTCATCAATTGACTAGAAAAAACATCCTATCTAATAATAGACAAACATGGTAATTAACTGTACCTCTGACACACTTCCCATTGGCTAATCAGGGCAATATGCAAATTAACTGCCAACCAAGATGACAGGCGGCAGCCACGCAGCTGAAGCGAACAGGAGGCTTGCTTGCTCCAGTGATGGAGGAAGCCAAGGTTCCCTGCCTGCCGCTGCCGGCCTCTGAGCTGCACTCTAAGAAACAATGTTGCAATTATAGAAGCTAAACAAACCCCAGAAACCTGCTTTCAGCCAGCCGGGCCTCAGAGCTGGAGCTGCAACAGTGTTTCAATTATAGAAAGCAAACAAACCCAGATACCTGCTTTCAGCACCCGAGGTCTCAGAGCTGGAGCCAAGCCTCAGAGCTAAAGCCAGCTCTCAGTTCCAGTGACAGCCATAGAAGGTAAATAAATCCCAGAAGAAAAAAAAAAAAAAAAAAGGAGAGGTTGGGAGCTTCAGTCACCTGCCAGCCTGAAAACGGCCCTCAGCCCCTCACCCAGACTGGCCAGGCACCCCAATGGAGGCCCCCACCCTGAAGGGGGTGTGACCAGCTGCAAACAGCCATCATCCCCTCATCCAGGCTGGCCAGACACCCAAGCGGGACCCCCACCCTGATCTGGGACACCCTTCAGGGCAAACCAGCCGGCCCCCACCCATGCACCAGGCCTCTATCCTATATAGTAAAAGGGTAATATGCAAACTGACCCTAACAGCAGAAGGACTGGGAATCACTGGTCACTATGACACACTGACCACCAGGAGGCAGACGCTCAATGCAGGAGCTGCCCTCTGGTGGTCAGTGAGCTCTCACGTGGGAGGAGCTCTGCTCAGCCACAAGCCAGGCTGATGGCTGCCAGTACAGCGGTGGTGGTGGGAGCCTCTCCTGCCTCCTCAGCAGCGCTAAGGATATCCGACTGCAGTTTAGGCCTGCTCCCTGCTGGCAAGTGGACATCCCCTGAGGGCTGCCAGGCTGCCAGAGGGATGTCTGATTGCCATCTTAGGCCCAATCCCCCGGAGAGCAGGCTTAAGCCAGCAGGTGGTCATCCCCCGAGGGTCCCAGATTGCAAGAGGGCACAGGCCAGGCTGAAGGACCCCCCCCCCCCCGCCCCCCCTGCCGAGTGCACAAATTTTTGTGCACCAGGCCTCTAGTAATAACAATAATAGTCAGAAATTTCTTAAATAAGTCTCATTAAAATGAATTTTACACAATTCTGTAATTATATCACAAACATATAAAATTATAAATTTTAATAATATGTCATCAATTGCTGGGGTCCAACCCCAGCAGGTCCAGGGGTCCCCAAAGGTGTGGACGGAGAGGGCATTCAGTTGATCAGCAGCCTAGCGAGGTTCTCTAGCCATGTTCTGGTCAGGATCTCCAGTGAAGTTCTGGTTAGGATCTCCAGCCAGGTTCTGTGTCCATGTTCTCTTGCTAGGTTCCCCAGCCAGGTTCTGTCACCAGGTTCTAGTCAGGTTCTCTTTCCATGTTCTATAGTCAGGTTCAGTCCAGGATCTTTTGCCATGTTCTCTCACTAGGTTCTGTCTCTAGGTTCTGTTGCTAGTTTCTGTCCAGGATCTTTTGCCATGTTCTCTCCAGCGAAGTTCTGTCTCTAGGTTCTGTGTAGGTTCTGTCTTCTTGGTTCTGTCTTCTTAGTTCTGTCTCTCGCTGTCTTGTTACATCTGTATTTATACCAGTTGATTCAATCCTATCAATCTCTATTACAAAGGTTAGGGCGTTTCTTATCTCCATTCCAGGGAGTAAAGATTATGTAGCTTAAGCATGATTGTTCATAGTTAAAGTGATTAATTACCCACCTGGCACTTAGTTAGAGGGTTTTATTCCCTCCCTAACTTCAGGGGAAAATCCCTACCTGGGGAAACAATCTTTCTCAGAGAGGAGACCTTGGTTAAAACACATAGTGCCAAGAAGGTGAGCAAACATTTTAAGAACAGTATGCCATATATGCCAGTTCCTTTGAAACAGCAAGGATGGACCGGCTCCCGGCAATCAATAACTTGAGGACAGTTATGCAGTAGAGGATTATTCATTTTATGCAGGAAATAACTGAGGAAAATTGTTTAAGCTTATTGTGTATAAATTCATACTCTGGACATGTATGTATACGTATACATATACATATACATATACATATACATATACATATACACACACATATATATATATATACTCATATGTAAACTATACTCACAGTAATTAGGAAGAGTCATCAGTAATTTGTAAGTGACAGAAGTAGCTTTAAAGCAGAATTCTATGTCCTTCCAGTGGCTAGCTCTGTATCCCTGGACAAATTTCCTTATTTTTCTGAACTTTCTTTGGGAAATTGTATAGGATGAAATCCCATTTTTTCAGGGCTATTGTAAGGATTAAGAAAGGTATTGAATGCACAGTAGCAATTTCTTCTCACAGTAGATAATAAATAGTGAACATCACTCCTTATTCCAATTCCTGATTAGTAGTATGATTTTTATTGAGAAAAATGATTGTGCAATTGTAAAGGGAGGAGTCCAATTTAAAAGAGATTGTGAAAATCTGTATGCTTATACAATAGAAAGATAAAATCATTCTGAAATAAATTATTTCTTTACTTTTAGGGGTTGTTATCTATGAATATAAGCAACTATTAACATTAGTTGCTTTTATCTTCCTTAGTGTTTTAATTTTTTTAAAAAAATTATTTTAGAGAGAGGGTGGGAGAGATAGATAAACATCAATGGGGGAAACATAGGTCAGTTGCCCCCTGCATGTGCCCTAAAAAAGGAAGGAGCCCACAATCTAGGTATTCTCATGTCTGGAATTGAACCCACAACCTTTTGGTGTATGAGACAATACTCTAACCAACTGAGCCACACTGGCCAGGGATTCCTCTTAGTGTTTTAAATTGTCTTATGCTATACTTTAGGGCATATCCAAGTAATTTAATTTATCATCCTTTCAGTTTATTATGTAACAACCACTTGGGTAACCTGAGTTTCTAAATATGCCAATCTGGCAAAATTATGCTATAACCCACATCCCTTCAATGCTGGATATCTAATTGTACTCAAGAACCTCACGGTGAGGGATGCTCTCCTGGTACTGATATTAAGAAAAACTGCTCAGAAGTCAATGTAGGATATAGGGATTTATTTAGGAACTGATATTTACATGTTAACTTCTATATTAAATTGAATGATAATTGAAAATTCCACACAGCTCTTGGCCTTTCCTTTTAGGTGTTCTAATATCTGTGAACACTATATTGGGTATTGTGGCTTTTTTTGGGACAAACAAATTGTTGTCTAGTGGGACAACAGTTCACCCTCCTGTTCTTAATAGGACATGCATTTCAGTTATTTGTTTTAATATTCCTCATAATAGCTATTTAGGAAAAATAAACATGTTTTTCTAAAAATAATTGAAAACCATTAATCTAATCTTATTGTAATTTACTGATATTTATATCAGTTTTGTACTCTTATGAATTACCAGTTTTCTAGATTATAACCTAAACTAACGTTGGCCTTGAATCAATAATACTGTCAATAAGTATATAAAAACTGGAACACACTACAACTATAAGTTATTGCTATAATCAAAACAGTCAAGTCCTATGTACCATATGCACAATTAGTACACTATTTCATTTAGATCATTTTTCAAATCTTTTAAAACTTTGCTAAATAAAAACAGCTACATTTCATGTATCTCCTATGTTCTATTCTTTCACATACATTGAGAAAAAGCTCAATACACTTTTCATACAGTAATGGCAATGTTTTATTTTATTTTGTTTTGTTCTGTTTTTGCCTTATCAGGGCATAAACACTTAACCATAGCCCGGTAAGTTATTATCTTTTTATTTTAAATGAAGAAAGTCAGTCTTTTAGAGATCAATTAACTTTCCTAGTAACACACAGCAATAAAAATGTCCCTGGTTTTCTTCTGTAGATTTTAATATCCTCAGCAACACTTTCTGTACACTTAGCATGGTGCTTCATAAAAGAGTGTGGAGTGAATAAATCTTCTTGACTGACTAATCTCTAATTGAAACTGATCATAACAACTCTAGCCAAGTAAGATTAGAATAACATGTCCCTAATTTTATTTTTTCTATTCATAATAAAATAGAGGAGAAAATATACTGATTAAATAAGTCCCACATGAATCTTCTAAAAAACTTTAAAAAATACAAAAATAAAGGAGCAAAATATAAATTCCTTTTTCAGATATACTAGAAAATACTTGTTACTCTGAATCTTATCAATGGAGAAAGAAATAGTGACGCTTAGGATATAAATTAGATTTTGTAGGCTAACTCATGTGTACACTGGGAAACACTGTTGTACTTTCTAAAAGATAAAACCAATACTTCTTTTCTTTCTTTCTTTTTTATTTTTACTTTTTTCAGAGTATTCTACAAGCAGTTAGACAAAGTCATCAGGAAAGGGAGAGCCAAGAACTAGTAATTGATACATTGTGTTTTTAAAGAGATTAATGCACAAAGGATAGGAAAAGTGAGTCAAATCTCCTCCACCACTGTTGACTTTATCTTTTGAAGGAAAATAAATGCTAAGTCACCACTAGACTATAAACCATTCGTGTTGCTAGACCAGAACTGAAATATATGCAAATATTTAGGAAGATTAATAATAAGTATTTTTAACCAATTACCTAAATCCACAACTTTTAGTTTT